GTGCCACAGCAACAGGGACTTTGTTTAATAACTGTAGTAGTGCTGGTCCCTAAAACAGTGTGTGACACCTAGTAAGTATTGAATATGTGGATGAGCAAAATCAATTGTCCGAGTGTGGCATTTAATTGTTCAAGTTTGGCATCTTTGCATTGCACTGCTTTGTAGTTCACACTCATATTTTGTGGCTATGCAAAACTGGATATGTGGGGAAAGATGACATCCAGTGGAGAGAAACTGATATAGCAATATTATCTCAACAGATACAAATAATTTCATTCAATTTAAGAATCGGACTTCTCCAAGTGAGGAACTATTTTGGAATAAGCCCTATTCTAATCTTGTCATTCTATCAAAGTAAACTAAATCTGACTCTTTAAAATTAGAAAAGAATTGTATAATTATTAATTCTAAGTAATAACCATTTTTCCTATACTCAGCGGTTCTCCATCAATATTCTAGAAGGGAGATAATTTATAATTGCCATTTAAAGAAATATGTTTCTGTTACTATGAAACTAAAGTGACTATTAAAAGTACCTTTATAATACATTCCCCAAATCAAGTATCTCCTCTTCCTTCCAGTTAATAGCATCCTATGAATCTAGTTGAGTAAAAACTGTGAGATTCCCAGAGCTGACAATTTGCTCAAGAAGGATTTTCAAAGCATCTGTGGTAACACTGATTCATTATTTCTTTTAAAATCTGACAATTTCTGCATTTCATCCTTAATGAAATACTAGTTACAAAGATCCTTTGGTCGGGACTGACCTCATCTGCCAATCTTAAGTGATGGATGGATGAAAAGGCAGGAAGGCCAGGTTGTTGCACTGTTATCTGCACAGGTCAGAAGACCTCAGCTCCTAGACTCCTGGAAAATCCTCCTTAGGATCAGAACCCTTGGAGGGTTGACCCATACATGCACACAGGGCACTGCAGAGGGAGGATAATGCAGCTAAGGCTGAAATGGGGTCCATGAGGGCATGAGGACATGGGCTCACCACTACACTATGAGTGGCCAGTCTAGGGCTGAGTTTACAAGGGTTCTTGTGTAGCTACAAAAAGCTACACCCACAGTCCCACCTCTCCTGTCTCTACCTTTATAAGAATGCACTTGGTGGACCTTTGGAAGTAAAATAATGTCTAAAAGAGAAAGGGCTCTGATAGGTACAGAGATGTGCCTGGGCCAGGTAAGGTACCTCATGCACAGAAAAAAATGTCCTGTCTCCCTACCACAGTCTGGTCTCTGACTTTCCCTGGCTGCCTATCATGGTCACTGGGCTTGCTTGCAGTGCTCAGCCTCTGGGGTCTTCTATCCCTTCTTAGGACCTATGCAGTCTGCTCCTCTGATCAGAGAGCTCCTAGTCTTCACACAGCTCCCAGGATTGGGTCCTCTACCTCCTCAGAGACCTGATTCCCTTACTTACCTCCTCTGCTCCCTCCAGCACACTCCTGGTGTTTCCTCAGAGCACTGGTCACACTTGCAGCTACCCCTTCACTTTTGATCTTACTGTGACTTGAGCCCCCTGGGACCAGCATGCTACTGTCTTGCTCTTCCCTGTGTCCACTTGAGGAGAACAGTGCCTGGTATGTAGCAGGCACACAGATGTTTATGGAGATAAATGAATCAGTATTATTTCTGAGAATGCCAGGTCGATTGTTTTTAAATACATATTCTGGTGACCTAGTGAACTTTTCTAGCATCAAACAGTAGTGGTGCTCCTAACACAAGGAAGTTGAGTATATTTTGGTAACAAAAGGAATAAAATACTGCATGCCCAATCACCATTACCTTTCAATATTCAAATTCCCCTTTCAGAAGTAGAACTGTGAATTTTAGCTTCAACAAAATTCTGTCAGTTAAATGTGGTTCTTCTAAAAAACCACATCACCTTATCCAATCATCCTTCTTGTTATCTGGAGGGCTGGTGCTTGAACACCCTTTTGGAACATGAGATTAAGAACTAAGGATGGCAGACTGGCAGGACAAGAGGTAAGTTCCTCATGAGCCTACTAAATTGGTCCTAGGTTATTAATGTGTACAAAAAAGCTCCTGTCTTTTTAAGCCACTAAAAATTGAGCCTTTCACATGACTGAAGGTAGTAGTAATGAGAATGTGGTGATTTCTAACACTGGTTTGAATCTGATATACAACCCAATTCTTGAAGGCATGTGGGGAGGAGGGTACCCATAGGGGGTTGCTAAGATATGGGTACTGCTAAGAAAACCAGGATGTTCCTGGTTCATTTCCCTAACCAAGGTAAGACAGGAAACTATGAATAAAGATACCCTTTTTTGTTACATTCTGGAATCTGGGCTCCTGGCGAAGGAGACTGGGTGAGCTTGGTGCTGAGAGCCTTAGTCTACCCCAGTGGTGGCCTCCACTTTGGATCCACATGAGGAAAAATTGAACAGTCCCAGGATGATTAACTGATGGGGGTCATGCTGACCATTTTCTAAAGCTAAACATACTCAATTAAAAAAACTTACCCTTTATTCTTAAATTAAATGTGTCTTATTTGGAGGGCTAGAAATATCTTTTCTTTGCTATCTACTATGATAGGTGTGAACTTAAAAAGTCATAACTCACCTAAATTAAAAACGACAACAACAATCTGGCATAGCTTTGTTAGATCCCTAAATAAGCTACTTACATTACTAATTAAAGCAACCTGAAGTTTAGGTTCTTGGATCATAATAGTAGCTAACTGAATATGGACAATAGTCATAGTAGCAGAATGCATTTATTATTTTCAGATTTTCATCTCATCCTTCCGCTATGAATATCTACCTCGTCAGGCATGAGGATCATTACCTCAGCTCTGGATGAAGAAATCCAAGGTTAAAGGGGTCTAAGGAGGTAGCTCAGTGGTACAGCATATGTAGCATATGTAAGGTTCTGGGTTCAATCCCCAGTACCACAAGAATTAAAAAAAAAGGAAGGATTTTCTTTTCCTTGTTAGTTCTGTGCTACAAACTGGGTACAATGATTCCATGTACACACTGAGCTTATACCTATGAAGGCACAAGAGACCATGCTGTCACTCTGGTTCCTTTAGGAATCAAAAGCAGTCTCCTTCCCTCACTCTCACCCCTCAGGTTTGGGTCTTCCGTAGTTCCACACCCTATGGCTGTCATCTGGGTTTTGGCTCTTAGTCCTACACTTTAGGTTTCATAGCCCTTGATGTTTTTCATTGTAACACTTATTAATTTAAAAATAACAGAAGTTCATTTAACAAATATTTACTGAATGCCTAAGGCGTGCCTAACATGATGCCAGATCAGGGATGCAGCAGTGAGCAACACAAACACATCATGAAATCTTCATTCCAGGGGAAGATTCAGACAATAAACATTAAATTATTAAACTATCAAATATGTTACATGGTGACAGTGCAGAGAAGGTAATGTAAAGACACAGGACATGACATATAAGAAGGCTGCAATCTTAAAGAAGATCAGAGTCTGGGGAGGTTCCTTGAGAGGGCAATAGTTGAGGAGAGACTGAAGGAGCAAGCCATGTGGGCATCTGTGAGAAGAACAATCAGCCTGAAGGATGCACCAGTGTAAAAGCCCTGAGTCCTGTGTATGCTTGGCATGGAGGTCAGTGAGGGTACAATTTAGCCAGCAAAGGAGAGATTTGATCACAGGACATGAGGTTGGAGACGGAAAAGATTATGTGAGACTCTGCAAACCACTGCAGAAGACTCTGCTTTTACTATGAGGAAAATAAGATGCTGAAGGGATTGGACAACATAATATGATTTAGGTTTTAAGTGACTGTGGCTACCATGTTGAGAAAAATCATAGCAACATAAAGGTAAGAGCTGGAAGACCAGTTAGGGGGCTACTGAGGATTCCACACAAGACACAATCAGGCTTGAACCTTGTGGTATGGGGGAAGGTAGCAAGACATGGTTGGATTCTCAAGGTTTTCTGAAGAAGGCAGGTGGGATTTGCTAATGGAATGACAGTGAGCCATAAAAGAGAAGGTTTAAAACAGGAGTGCATTTTCAGGTGGGAAAATTCAGGAGTTCAATTTCACAAGGAAGTTTGAAGTGGTTATTAGTTATTTAGTTTAGGTCATCAGACAGATACACAGGTAACAGGTAACAGCTGAACATAACAATCCAGAATGCAATTAAGAGCCTTAAGCTATGGGTAAATCCAGTCATCTTTGTTGCACAAAGGGATTTAAAGATATGAGGTTACATAAGGTCATGAAAGGGGTACATTCAGACAGAGAAAAGCTCTGAGGACTGAGTTTGGAGCATTACAGTGTTAAAGGGTAAGGGAGATGAGGGATACTCAGGTTGGCAACCTGGGAAGGAGCCAACGGAAAACAGAAGTAGAAAAACTGAGAGTGAGGCATCTGGCAGCAGCAGAAGGTTTGCACAGAGGGAATGATGAACTCTGTCCATAGCTGCTGATAGGTGCTTTCCTGCTGTGAGGTGTTCTCCTCAGCATTGATCATGATCTATTAAACTGAGGTCATGAATATACTGGAAGACTGGGAAGGAAAAGCAGCAGACAGCTTTTGAGTATGGTGCTTGAGTCAATCCCAGTAAGTTATAAAACAAAGTCAAACAACAGTCTCCAATACTGAGGAGAAAAATCTCAGAATTAACAAATTACTTGGAAATACATGGGGAAGTAATAGAAAGAAACAGCTAAAAAAGTGAGTGAGTGAGACTCAGGAGCAGGGAATTGCAAGGCAAGGACTTCTGTTTTACAGTATAATCCGAAACTTTTCAAACTATATCCTTGTAGTCCTTTGACAAAAATTAAGGACTCATAGAGTGGCTTAAGTGCTAGAACACCTGCCTAGCAAGTATGAGGCCCTGAGTTCAAGCCTCAATGCCGCCAAACAAACAAAAAATTAAAAACAATTAACTAGCCAGAGGGATAACAAACTGCATGAGCTAGATGTCTCACTTTGAATCTGTGAGGATTGAAATTATAACCAGAAGCAACAACTTCACGTGCTCACCAAGTGTTTACTCACACATTAAGCAAGGTCATAAACATCATATACGCTACACCTTTTCAAATGTAGATTCTGTTTCATCGCTATAAGGTAGAGGTATTCCTGAAATTATAATTATGGTTAATCACTGAAGATTTTTCATTCAACGGATGCTAAAAGTGTAACCACTATTTTAAGACCATCTTACAAATAAGTGCTTAAAAGTTAAATAGTTTGTCTCTCTGAATAAATTTAGGAACCTCTGAGAATTGAGCTAAAACACTATTGTGTTATTAAATTTATTAAGATGCTTTTGCAGTAAACATTTAGAAAACATTTAGTTTAATATGGCTGTAACTTTGTGTGTGTTCTTGTCAACAGTTTAGTTCCTTGGAAAATGGTACCATCTTCTAGTAATCTTTGGACTCCTCCATACCTAGCATAGTTGTCAACATATTAACAATAAGCAACATTTAATATTTTGTAAGTGCTTTCCCTGTGCCAGACACTGTTTGAAGAAGTTTGTACATACTACCATTTACTTACTATTCTGGAAACACAGCCTTCTGAAATTTGTAGTTTTAGCATTTCTATATTATAGAAGAGGAAACTGAGGCATAAAGCTAAGTAAGTCTCCCAAAAACTACATATAACTGATGGCCAAACTAGGAATACAGGCCAAGCAATGTCTTTCTGAGCCTTGGCCGCTTAATGTTTATGTAGAATGTTAATACATATTTGCTGATAAAAATCATTGAAATAATAAACCCAGTGGCAATTTATTTTAACTGATATAAAATAAAATCATGTAACTTTTTAATGGTATGACTTTGTGTGCATAATTTTAAAAGGCTATTTATTTGGCAGTCTCACCTTTTTCTTTTCGTTCTGGATCATCTGTTTTTCTATTTGTTTCTGAAAATTAAAGACAAAGCAAAGTAATTACTGTATAAGTAACCATTTATTATCTCAAATTATATAATTATATTTAAATGAATTTCAATGATCATAATTTAAGGAAATATTTCCAGGCATACAATCAAATTTTTCTAAATCTTGAATTCTTTACACTTAAAATTCATTATAAAATATCAAGAGTTAGGCTCATATGAATTATTTATAGAACTCACTGAACAACAATATCTATCTGTCTATGAAAATAGCATAGTGAATCCCACCAAAAATTGTTAAAAATGAGGAGGAAGGAGAAAAGGAAGTTAAGAAAGAGTAATATAGACAGGATAAATTCGATCAAAGTACATTATATGCATGTTATAAATATCACAATGAAACCCCTTTGTACAATTAATTTATGCTAAAAAAACTAAATTAATATGAATTAAATACTTAAGTAGGAAGAAAAGAAACTAAAAAAAAGTAAAACATCACTGAACAGTGACTAGGTTTCAGTTACCAGGCTAAGTGTTCCTCATCTATATGAGAGGTGGATTGGGTGATGGCCACCAACTCTGTCTCTATGGATGACAGACATCCAATTGAGGGAGAAGTTAGGGTGGAAGGAAGCTATCACCAAAGCTTGTCAACATTCTTACTCTCTCCTAAAATCATAAGACTACTTTAAAAGCCACTGTGTAGTTTAAAGGAATATGGATGTCATCCTAATGTCTCACCTCTCCAAAGATTTCATACACACGCGCGTGTGCACACACACACAGATGATCCACTGCAAGCACCTGCACTGAAATCCGGGTATGTACCACTAGCTCATTTGTGGAGAAGTTCAAGATGTGTCAGCCTCTCACACTAAGTTAACCATAGTATCTCTCCTACAAATGGGGCTAGGAGTTTAGACTAAGCGAAGAACTTCTATCCCTTACATGGAAAACAATAGGAAATAAACCAGTCATACATTTATAACTACTTTTCTGCACCTATAACTCTATGCTAGGCTTGTCTGTTTAATGATAAAAGGATCTAGATAATTTTCAAGGTAGAACAGTTGAATATATATCTGTTGGTGTGGTGATGAGGCAGTTTGGGAGATTGATTAAAAATCTTAGAATCTGTTTTCTCCTCACAGTAGATGCAGAAAGGTGTGGGTGCAATCAGGGATACGACCAAAGGTACATTGACAGTTCATTTGTCTTATCCCAAGTTTCTCACATTCATTCTTATAGGACATTTCAATTTAGGAAAGTGAAAATTAAATCTGAGGCAAGCTTCAGTGTCGTGAGGGTTTTTGCTCCTTTGAGACCTGAGATAAGAGGAAGTACAGGAAATAAACTGAAGCTGGGACGCCAGGCTTGGCACTAAGCACATCATAGCTCATACTATTTGACTTCTGACATTCTACAGGAAGATTCCTGATGCAAAGGAGGTAGTTGAGGCTGAGAGATTAGAGGTCCTAAAGCTACCAAAGAGAGCAGTTTAACTGATTACAAAACGTAATGTTCATTCCACTGCACCAATCTACACCTTCCTTGAAAGAGAAATGAGGGAATCGCATAGTGCAAGTCTTCACTTTGCAAAAAGTAGGTTTTATAAAGTTGACTGACTGTATATAACTTCTGGGCAGTGCTGTAAGAAATATGCAGGATATACTTAAGAAAAGGGGGTGGTGGTGTGTAGAGCTCTGTCAAAAGTTCTAGAACTTCTGATGTTATTAACTGTAACCTGCTTGTCATAGAGTTAGGTAGCTGGAACACCATACTCTCAGGACCTATAAAGTGAGTACCTAATGTCCACCTGGTACTCTCACAGACATTAGGGAAGAAAACATTGAAGTTGTGAGGAGCTCTCTTTCTTTTGGGATCAGCGGTACCTGCAGGAAGCCTGTAACTCTCCACATCCTCCAGTGGTCACACGGGGCTAATGCAATTTGAAAAGTCATGCAAAGAGCGCAGTTTTCTAATCCGACAAGGGAGATCAGGCAGGTGCTGATTATGAAGGGGCGTACAGGGCTCTGCAGAAATCCCCCCATGCCTGGGGGGACAAATAAGGAAGGAGGAGTAGTTTGAATTGGTTACATTAAAAACCAAAGTGGACGGTTCAAATCTCAAGTGGGAGGTCCTGGCGAGGTCTCCCCATGTCCTTTGGACTGACAACTCCCGGGAACTTGGAGGGCATGTGGGGTTGGACATGCTCCCAGAAACAAGTGCCTCCATCTGTCTCCCTCTTTCCTTACAGTACCCAGGGTGGGGTGACAAATGGCTCTTTTTAATTAAAAAGGCCTAGCCCAGACCATTCCAGGCCCAGGGTAAGAGCTCTCTCTTGGGTCATTCCTATGTTCCTCTCTGTCTCATACCTCACATCCACAAGCTAAGTTCAGAGGCTCACGTTTGGATAAGGAGAAAATACAGAGCAGGTGTTTTAGCCACTTTGGTTTTTACTGCCTACCTTTAGCTTAAGTAAGGAGTTTCCTATGAGATTCAGCTTACCTACATAGCATTCTGCATAGCTAATAGCAAAGTGGTACTTTGCTCTCTGTACCTATGCTTCTCTTGGGACCTTATATGGACATCTCTCTGCCAAAGAAGAAAGTGATTTATTGAGCACTTTCACATACCCCAGTAATAGGCAGTTCAGTAAGTAAAAAGAGCTGACTTCTCTACCCACCCCTGAAAACTACAAAAGGACAAGCTCACTTGTAATTTGTATTTAATGTTTAAATACTCATGTCTAAAAAGAAAAAGATGTTTCACACTCTTTATCTGTATTAAATTCTTTCTTTTCTCTTTCACATTATTTTATTAGCACAAGGGAAATCTCATTAAACAGAACGAGATCTTGATCCTTAAAGATTATCATGCAACCAGATGGACTCCAGTGGCTCCCATCTGTAATCCCAACTCCAGGGGAGGCTGAGGTCGGGATTATCATGGTTTGAGGCCAGCCCAGGCAGGGAGTTCCCAAGAATGCATTTCCAACCAATACCCAGGAGCAGTGGCATATGCCTGTCATCTCAAATTATGCTGGAGATTAGGAGGATCACTGGTCCAAGCTAGCCTGGGCAAAAGAGTTTATGAGACCTCATCTCAATGAAAAAAGCTGGGAGTGGTGGCATGTGCCTGTCATCCGGTGATGGCAGGAAACATAAAATAGGAGGATTGTAGTCCAGGTAGCCTGGACAAAAATCAAGACTCTTTCTCAAAAATAACCAGAGCAAAAAGGGCTAGAGGTGTGGCTCAAGTGGTAGAGCACCTCTCAGCAAGTGTGAAGACCTAAGCTCCAAATAACTAAATAAATAAATCACTGCATCCCCTCCAAAAATCATGCCACCATTAACAAGCATCATTTTTGTGGATTTAGACATAATGAATCTTCCCAAATTCCACCTACTGTGCTAATCTGCCTACTAAGCAGTTTTGCTGGACCCAACACACGGGAATGTTAACTTGCACCCAGGCCCATATGTACTTCCTTAGTGTTCATCCCTAAACCCAGATGTGGGACTATGCTTTTCACACACATTGCCTAATCTTCAAATTGCCCCTGTCCTGTCTCCCAATCTCTCTACTAGCATTTCCTTAGCTGGAGCCTAAGTGTAACACCAGCACCTATTACTTACCATTTCCCTGTCTGGCCCCCTGCCTGCTCTGTGGCCTCCCTCCCCATTTTTTCACCTTCCATCTGTTGCCTGCATATTTACCCTGGAATACTAGAGTATAAGCACAAGCCACAGGCATTTCCCCCTCAGAGGCAACAGTAACACCAAAACTCAATTTCCTAATGCATGTAGATGTATTCAAGTAAAGGAGCTCTGCTTACCGAGAAAGCCTGTTTTTATTGTTTCTTCTGGAAATGTTGCTGAAAACAACCCTTTCTAAAATCTGAGGAGCTTGTTCCCTATTTGTTTAAGTAAGACAAGGAAAGATTCAGAGAAAGACTGAAAATAGGAAAGAAGAAAAAGTACCTTCCATGTGTGTTTCTACCATCTCATGATGAAGTTAGTATCTTCATAACACAACAGTCATGGAAGATGAGGATGGGAGGGGTGGTCTCAGTAGGGAATAATCAAAACTGCCCAGAGCAGAACAAAAACTTACAAAGGATGGAAACAAGGGATACTTCCATTTTAATCTAGCCTCCTGGCAATGTAGCAAGTTACTTATTTGTTATTAAAACAAATAAGTATTGCCTCTTACAGAAACGGATTAATGGGCTAAAAGTATTCTTTTGTGATTTTAAAAAGACACCAAAAAATGCTAGGATCTTCTAAATTACTAGTAAGTATAAAATGAACTGATTTTGATATATAACAAAAATACTTGATATGCTTCAAAATAATGACAATATAGAGAAGAATTCTTCTGTATTTTATTGCACTCAAATAACATTAAACCAAAGACATTTACATTATTTTGAGAAAATCCACTGATGTTGCCTAACATGGCATATATTTGTCAAGACAAAATTCATTAATTCAGATATTTGGAATTAAAAAGTATTTAAGCTGACCACAGCATAAAGCATCCTCAATTTCCAGAGTTCTAGAGATGGTTATATACAAAAGTCCAGTAAAACATATTTAGTCATTCATCAGTTCTATGGCACTCCTAAGTTTCTCTAAAAAAATATGGCTTTATAAAAAGTAGTGTTCTATAATTCACAATATGGAGAGTTTTATTCTAAGTATCAACTCTATACTACCTATATCACAGCTTTAGAAAATTATTGCTTTTCTTACTGACTTATTTCAGGTTTCATTACACATCGAGTCAGCATGCAAAAGTCAGTACAATGAAACTATGATCTGTAATGATAAAAGCATACTCTCTTTAATCTTATCCTAAAAGCAGAAAGTCACCTTACCTTAAAATAATGTTAACAACATAATCAAAAGCTACCCCTCACCCATAACTGAAACCACTTCTTATGGCTTTATTATTATATAACTAGTGGTTCTTTCAAAGTGATGTTGCAGCTACTTTCTTTTCTAACTGAGGGATAATATT